GAGAAGTAATGTGCCCCAGTCCCCTGATGATAAGTTGTGGAGATGTAGTAGGATCCTGGTGATCTGACATACCCTTCCGAGTCTGGGAGGTTACCTACAAGACCTATGTTGGAAATTATGTAAGGAAAATACATGTAAAGATAAAAGAATTAAAGAAAATACATTAACTCATTAGCTGTGATTGATATGGGTATGTGCTTAGCTTCAAAGTTTAAACTGATGTTCTCCTTTCTATTTGTTTGTATGTTTTATAATTTTATATCAATAATATGCATTCTTTTCATGAAGAAGAGCAAATTTAAGAACTGTTCAGATCATAAAACAGAAAAATGAGTAATACCATGACTTTCTATTGTTCTTTGTGATTTTTGAAGTACTTTTGTATTACTTTTATCTAATTTTATGCTTATAAGTAAAATGAACTTATGACTTATCCAAACCATGACATTTAAAATTGTACGAGAGGGTTGCTATACCAGGAAGATAATTATAAACTTGAAGTATTCAAGTAAACCAACAGATAGACTCACTCGATTTAACATAACTCTTTGAGGTCAAGAGTACTTAGATATCTTTCTTACATTTTGAAATTGAAAATAATGTTAAATGACTTGATTGAATAATATAATGAAAAAATTATGGTTCTGAAAATAGATTGCAAGAAAAGAGATTGTCTTGATTTATTCCATAGACTAAATCTTGTGATTAAAACAAAACAAAAAACGCCACTGGTGGCAGTTTCTGCAATCAATAGGAATTTTAGAATCATACAGTTCTAAGAGACTTAAAAATCAGGGAATCATACAAAATTTTATTTGATTTAAATTGTTATGCCACTGAAATTTCTGAAATTTTCTAATATCCTGTGCAGAAACCTGAGACTTATAAAGAAGGATACCTAATATTTGTGATTATAGGTAATTATGGATTCATGAGCCAGAACCCCTTCATCCAAAGAGTGCTAGAAAAACAGTCAACAGAAAATGAACCTAGATTAGTAGGTTTAGATGAGTAAACATTTAGCTAACTTATTTTTTGTTAAGTGTAATCCTGGAAGATAACAGGAAGTGAAATGGACAATATTTTGTATTAGTGATTTGGTTAGAAAGTTGAAAAACTTAGTGGTCAAACTTGTCATTAGGCAGATGACACTGGGCAAATGATGCCTGCCAGCGTTTTGCTACAGAATTATATGTCTGAAAAAATCTAACTATTTAGCCAATAGTGGGGAAAGAAAAAGACAATTGAATCTAAGGGACAAATGTGTAATAGGTATTAATCACAGATCAGGGTCAGAAAAGTCCCAGTCACTGCAAAATACAGTCTGCAGATGTCTATTTAGCCAACAGGGCATTTTTGTTTGGGTTTGTTTTCTTTCTTTCTTTTTTTTTTTAGTGATTTTGAATTTGAAACAATTTAAGCAGGTAAGCAGGAGTTCCAGGTTTGACATCCCTCTGTCCTCCACCCAGGTCCTCAGCAGGGCCTCTACTAACTCTGGTGATGCCTTGCTAGAGATTTGAAAAAAGTACTTATTCTGGGTGTGCAGCCCAAGGCACAGCGCAGAGCAGGCTGGGTTAATGGGCCCCAGTTGCTTTCCTGCCTTGAGATTTTTTTGAGATTTAAAAACTGCACATTTTAGCCTAGGAATTCTTAGCTACTGGCTTATGCCCTTTCACTTTACACATTGATGTTACCCGTCTGGCCCCTGAAAACCTTTCATTATTGAATCGAAATTGTAATTAGTCTCTTTATGACATCAAGGCAGTCACAGTCTTAAAGTAATTTAATTGCCCAGTATGTAATTTACTTTGGAAAGAATGCTGAATCAAGATTGTTTTCTTTTTTCCCCTTACTATATTTTTTGACTTTTTTGTTTTATTGACAAAAATATCAGAAATATATCATATTAGGTGGTAAGAAGAAAATTAAATATTAGAAATATGACAAGATTTTTTTTTTACATTATTAAATACGTTTACATTGAATCCTCAAATGAGTTATTGAAAAAAAATACACAGGAGTCTACATTTATATACAACTATTAGACTGACATCTGTTCTTTTGAGGAACAGAAATTGTTAACATGTCTACTTTTGTACTACTCCAATTAAAGGAAGATAAATACCTTAAAAAGTTACTGATAAAGCTATGCAAATGGAGAGATCAAAAAGAGCACATATGGTATAATGTAAAGAAAATAGGAAAGATTATAACATTTAATTTGGATTTAAACCAGTGAGATCTTTGTTAGCATATTTAGGTAGGTGGTTCATCTGGTAAAAAATCTGCCTGCAGTGCCGACTTGGGTTTGATCCCTGGGTTGAGAAGATCCCCTGGAGAAGGGAAAGGCTACGCACTTCAGTATTCTGGCCTGAAGAATTCCGTGGACTCTATAGTCCATGGGGTCGCAAAGAGTTGGACATGACCGAGTGACTTTCACTTTCACTTTCAAATCAATGTCACTTTAAAAATAATTTAATTTACAGGCAGGTCCCAACTTATGATTTTTCAGCTTTATAATGGTGATAGTGCAAAAGTGATGCATATTCAGTAGAGACCATACTTCGAATTTTGACTTTTTTTCCTGAGCAGGTGATATGTAGTATGACAGTTTCTTGTAATGCTGGCAGCTCATTGAGCCACAGCTCCCAGTCAGCCACTCCATCACTGGGGTAACCAACCAGTCCATTACAACCATCCTGTTGGACATACAACCAGTGTGTTTTTCACTTTCAATACCGTATTCTATAATTTGCATGATATATTCAGCACTTTATATAAATAGGGTTTCTGTCAGATGATTTTGCCGAACTGTAGGCTAATATAAGTGTTCTGAGCATGTTTAAGGTAGGCTGGGCTAAGCTAGGGTGTTTGGTAGGTTGGTATACTGAATGCATTTTTGACTTAACAATATTTTCAACTTACGATGGGTTCACCTGTAATTGAGAAAGCTTTTTATGTACAAAATTTTATGTTAAAATAATAATTTATACTTTTGTTTGCATAATTGGCTAGGGACATAAGAAAGACAAATTTCACTACTGGTGACTCCCAGGTTTGAGAGGATGAGGAACAGTTAATGCTGACTAAAACACTGACTCTGTCTCCTTTGCTTCTGCCTTCTGTTTAGTGGTCACCATGGCTACATGGCGTGCAATGGTACAGGTGCATGTATGTAAACCACTCGATCTGCATATACACTTGTATCTTATGCTTATCTGTATCTCCAGAGGTCATTCTATAAACTGCGTTCACTGAGTGTAATATGTCTGGACACAGCATTTGACTTAATCTTTCAGAGGGTATTATTAATATTAGGTGCAGTATTGCAGTGCAGTGATGGCTCAAGAAGTTTGCAAAGGAGACGAGAGCCTTGAAGGTGAGGAGTGCGGTGGCTGGCCATCACAAGTTGACAATGACCAGCTGAGAGCGATCATTGAAGGCTGATCCTCTTACAACTACACGAGAAGTTGCAGAAGAACTCAACTTTGACCATTCTATGGTTATTCGGCATTTGAGGCAGATTGGAAAGATTGATAAGTGGGTGCCTCATGAACTGGCCAAAAAAAAAAGGAAAGAAAATCGTCATTTTGAAGTGTTGTCTTATCTTATTCTGTGCAACAACAATGAACCATTTCTTGATCGGATTGTGGCATGCATCTAAAAGTGGATTTTATACAACAACCCACAATGACCAGCTCAGTGACTGGACTGAGAGGGAGCTCCAAAGCACTTCCCAAAGCCAAATTTGCACCAAAAAAAGGTCATGGTCACTGTTTAGTGGTTTACTGCCAATCTCATCCACTGCAGCTTTCTGAATCCCAGGGAAACCATTACATCTGAGAAGTATGCTCAGCAGATGGATGAAATACACCAAAAACCACACCTGTAGCCAGCATTGGTCAACAGAAAGGGCCCAATTCTTCTCCACAAGGCCTGACCGCACATCTTATAACCAATGCTTCAAAAGTTGAATGAACTGGGCTATGAAGTTTTGCCTCATCCACCACATTCACCAGGCATCTTGCCAACTGACTACCACTTCTTCAAGCACCTCAACAAGTTTTTGCAGGAAAAATGCTTCCACAATGAGCCAGAGGTTGAAAATGCTTTCCAAGAATTCATAGAATTCTGAAGCATGGATTTTTATGTTACAGGAATAAACCAACATATTGTTGGCAAAAATATGTTGATTGTAATGGTTCCTATTTTGATTATTAAAGATGTGTTTGAACCTGTTATAATGATTTAAAATTCATGGTCCAAAACCACAGTTACTTTTGCAACAACCTAATAGTTAAATACACACTGAACAGGATAAAAGTCATAGTATTAGAATAGGTTATCCAGATGAGATTTTGCTGTAATCTTTTTTCTTGGAATATTTTGAAAGCTTCAAAGGTATATTTTTAAAACTTCCAGAGGTAATTTGGGGTATGATTTCACCTTACTGGGAGTGCTGTGAATACAAATTAATGCCCCTTTTAAGTTGCCTTTACCTATTAATTTAGGTAAAGGATCTTGGATCCCCAGGTTTTGCTTTTTTAGCTTTGTCCATATAATATGGCATGTTACCATTGTAATGGATCCCCAGGTTTTGCTTTTTTAGCTTTGTCCATATAATATGGCATGTTACCATTGTAATGAGAGGATAAGATAGATCCATTACTATAAAAGATATATGCTGTTAATGAGTTTCCAGCCAACTATCAAGGTATCATCAACTGTGGTTTATCTTGGTGAATGAAAGTTTGAATGGAAAATTAAGCTCCCACACTGACTGTAGAAGTGCAATGGATCATTTTGTTCTTTAATGTCACACTTCACTGGACACACTTCACAAAGCAGTGAATCATGTTTAAAACAAGCAGCCTTTACTTCAGCAACAGCAGATAATGTAGCAGAGGTGGATAATAAGTGTTAGCAGTCTTAACTTTCTCTGCAGTGCTCTCTCCAGGTGTCTGATGGATGATTTACAAAGTACATATGCTATTTTATAGATTGGAACTTGGGATCCAGCCAGTGGCCTGAATATGACAGAAAGTCAAAAGGGAAAGCCAGCCAACATCACAGATTCCTTATCCAATCGTTCTTTGATCGTTACCACCATTTTGGTAAGTATTAGTTTTCCCATTCTTTTTAGATAAATGTAGATAAACATGGAAGTGCATAGAAAATTGCAGTAGTAATGAGCAGAATGTAATTTATTTTATAGTTATTTAGCAATTGCTGTATAATGGATGAGTCAGTATTAATTTAGTCACAGTTTTATTTTGTTAGCCTTTAATGATGTAAATTATATTAATGTTTGGGCTGCTTATAATGCTTAATAATACAGCTTTGTCTATTACTAGGAATCTTTATGTTTCTACAAAATTAGTTGCTGTTGAAAAATTGTCAATGTTAAGATTTGAAAAATACATGGACAAGCAGTTGTATAGATATAGTTATGTGAGAAGCTGCATGTGAGCTTTGCTTCTGCTTTCATTTCCTGCAAATAAATTTCAGAGGGCATGCCATTTATTTGTGAGACTTTTTTCTATTATAATTATGTTTTAACCTTGCTTTCGATTTAATTCTTTTCATCATGGTGAATCACTTTTACTTTACTAATCTCCCTAATGAAATCAAATGACAAGTGCTGTTTTAAATCAGAAATATTTTCACCACCAACAGAATTAAATTAATACTGATAAGCTAGGTATTTTTACCCCTCTTCCAATTATATGTTTTAATTAGATCGCAGTAATGTCTGTGTATGCCTACTATGCCATTTGCAAAGAAGAATTTTAATTTTAGGACAAGCAAGGAACTTTTATATAATTTAGTGAGTACTTTCACCTACAGAATAAGTTTATCAATGTTAATTCCTCTTATTCCCTAGGTAGCCAGTAAGAATGTGAGATTAATGTCCAAAACAAACCTTCACATACTTTTAGCATTTATATGATTTCTAAATTTGATTTATGGTAGAACATCAAGCCAGGAGGAATTCATAATCTTGTCCTTTTAGTAACAATACAGGATGTTAGATCAAAACATATCCAAACAAAACAGCTTGGGTTAAAGACTTGATAATGAAGCAAGCTGGTGATCAGGAAATGATTGTGATAGAAGTTCATGAGGTGTTTTTTAATCACTCCTTTGCTAAGAACTTCAGTGAATACTTGCTCTACTATATCCAAACTTCTCTGGTCCCCTTTAACTTAATTTTGTATCCCCCTCTCTTTTCAAAGCTAACTCTCACATCCACCAGCTGTGGTCCTCAGATGGAATGTACTCACAGGAGGACACTGCCACGTTTTTTTTCTGCCAGTATATCCTGGATCTCATAACCCGCTGCTGGAACAATTACTGTAACACTGTAACTTCCTCCTGCTGACACCTTTTCCCTTTGTAATATCCTTCACTGTCCACTGTGAAGATCTGATTCTGTCATTCCCGGCTTCTCTGCTCAGAAGTCTTTAGTGAGGCCCTGCTGCTGCACTGTGCTCAGCCGACTCAGTTGTGTCCGAGTCTCTGCGACCCCATGGACCGTAGCTCACCAGCCTACTATGTCCATAGGATTTTTCCAGCAAGAATACTGGAGCAGGTTGCCATATCCTCCTCCAGGGAATCTTCCCAACCCAGGGATTGAATCCGTGTCTCCTGTGTCCACTGTATGGCAGACACAATCTTGTTTGAGTCCATATCGGACATTAAAAAGGCCCCCAAATCTTGACCCTGTTATTCAAAGCCTTTTACAGTCTTGCCTTCTCTCATCTTTCTATCCTCATTTCCCATTTCTCCCTTTCGGAAATCCTGTATTTTAACTGATCTAGGGTAACCAGTTAGCTCACTACTCTGATTGTGTTAGCCCCGTTCCCTTTGTTTGCAATATGTTTCTCTCCATTCCTGAAATATAGAACTTGTCAGTACTTCATATTATTTAAGCTTAATATTATTCTTGAATTATTTCATGTGTACAATATTTCTCCAAACATCACTGACCACTCCTTTGAGAATTAGGATCTGACTAAGTCTCTTGTTTTTATACCATATATGCCTCTACAATGCTCACAAAATAAAGTGTGCTGGGCAAGGGCATCTGTCTTCAGCAGCTAGCCCCAGTACTACTTTCTTGGTTCTCTCTGATACAGCCAAACTCGCAAATGCATCACTTATTTTATGGCTTCATATCTTTGCCCACTTCATTATGTTCTCCTGTGAAAATTTTTTCATCCTTCCAGACCCATCTCAGTTCACATGCACTCTGTGAGACTCTTTGATCTTTCCGTTCAGTTATGTATGTTTGGGGCAGGCAGGGAAGTGTACATGTGTATCATCATACTCTATCATTTTACTTACCATACATTATTTTTTTAATGTTAGAAATTTTGTGCTTATCTGATCTCTATTTGGTATGAATCTATACAAGGTCAGTAATCAAATTTTACACTTCTTAGATCTCAGTGTCAGAGAAAAGTGCCAGGTATTTAACTAAGCAGAAAATTAGAATAAACAACTTTCAAATGACTGTGTTTAAATATTTTTTCCAGTGTGCAGGTTATTGCAAACTTTTTGTCCAAACAAAGCAGGTGATTAGACTACCCATACAATTTCTCAGTTTTGCTTAATTACTCAAGAGTTATTTTGTAAGAAGTATTCAAATATTTTTCTCACTAATAAACAATTTTATATTTGTTCATAAACAAGTGGTATTAAATCTTAACTTCTTATCATAGCCAGAGAAAGACTTTTTAAAAATTATTATTACCTAAAACAGTATTTGTGGGCTTTGGATCTTGGACTTTTTTTTTTTTTTTTACTGATCTATAATGATGTTTGAGACCTATTCCTCAGATCATTACTCCATATAACCAACATGTAAGATCAATTCTGAAACACACTCTAAGCTTACATATTAATAAATAGGTCACTTATATTTTAGACTATGTCACTGTGTTAGTTTCAAAGTGATTGTGATTTTCCTTAAAAAGAAAAAGTAATTTATTACTTTATATCACTTAGTTGAAAAATCTTTTTCTGAACAGTCTGATCACAGAGTATCCACAATTAGGAAAAGATTTGAAGAGATTATTTCCCTTATTTTTATAAGCCAGCTTGATATAATTTATTGATGCTTAACTGATATTTTATAAAGAAGTATAATCATTTGATTTATTCTAAGGTTATTTTGTCCCTTTCTCCCTTCAAAAATCTCAGAGGAGATTCTGGCTATGTTGTAAATAATGATATCTTCACAAAGAGAAGTTCACTTAATGCTTCTTGTTTGACATTTTTATTATGTGTCAAAAAGAAGAAAGCAGTGAAGTATTCTAAAATTTGACCTTATCAATGTGCTTATCATAATTAGCTCCATTTCTCATGGATTTTATTTACTTTATTTTTTATGATTCTTTTTGTATTTAACAAATATGTACTTAATGATAATGATATACCAGGGTTTATGCTAATCACTGTGTTTAATGGACAAAATAAACATGGTCTATGCCTTTATGAAACTTAGAAAATGGTAGAATTCATAAGGAGAACTAAATACACATACACGCACACACACACAGACATACCCCCTTGTGATTAGGATATGAAAGAAGGACACATAGCATGCTGCCTTTTACAGAATGATCAAGAGTGACTCCAAGGATCAGGTGTGGAAGGATGAATCAGGTTAGACTTCACTGCAGAAGGACAGAGCTGAAGTTTGAGAAGAAATTATCATAGTAAAGAGGGGGAAGGAGTATTCTCAGCAGATAAAACAACATATGCAAGGGCCCTGAAGCAAGAAAGATCTAGAAAAAGTTGCAAAATTCAAAGAAGACCATAATGACTGAGGCCAGTTTTTTATATGCTTCTCAGCTTCATTAAATACTGTTATATGAATATGGTTCATTGCCAAAAAATAACAACACACATCTTTGGCATGCCTGCTAGGTGCTTGACAATGTTCAAAGTACTACTCATAGATTCACTTATTTAATTGTCATAGTAACCTTTTTTGTTAGACACCGTTATCCATACTCTTTCACAGGTGGGAAAGCTGGTGTTCAGATTGTCCAAGTAACCTACTCATGCCCACAGAGCTAGAAAGTAGAGCAATAGTTTTTTCAACCAATCTATAGCCTACTTGAGCAACCAATACTGTAAAATGAAATCTCTAGCGTCCCAGCTTGGAAAAGTCTAACAGGTATAGTTTATGACCAAAATAGTATCTTGATTGAGTATTGTTCACCTAAAGAATGTTTCTCATCCAGAAATACCACATATGCTAAAGTACCATGATACCATGATAGGTGTGTCCCCAGACATCTAGACATTTCCTCAGGAAAGATTTAGGTTACTCTTTCTTGGATGCCTTGAACTTCCTCTTCTTTCTCTCCTCTCCTAATTGAGCACTCAGTTTTCTTTCAACTTCTTTAAACCATAATCTCAGATCTTTCTGGACAATCAGGAGTAATGGAGCTTAACTCACTTTTTCTTTTTAGAATTGAGATTAAGCATCTTGTTTACAAATATTTTTTCCACTTCTTCAACAACATAATCTATGCCTGATACACTATATGGGTATAGAATATAGTTATTTCATGGAAAGTGTTCATTTTCAGAAGCTCTAAATAATTTTTAAGTATGTAATTACTTTTTCTTAAGTTTTTAATTATATGATGCTATATAATTTGGAAATTATGTAGCCTCTTCTGCAGGAGAAGACCTAAAACTCTATAGTCTACTCATGCCATCTCCTGACTATTTCTCATATTACCTCTCTGGTTTTAGAATTTCAAATTCAGTGGTTGTTAAAATTCCCTTGTTTCTTGTATTTATCATTGCAAATGGAATTTTAAAGTATCAACCTTAGAATCACATTTTCATCTATGATGATTTCATAGATGAGCATAAAATTGTAAAATGACTTCCCTCACGGCTCAGACAGTAAATAATCCACCAGCCGTGTGGGTCCTGGTTTGATCCCTGGGACGGGAAGATCTGCTGGAGTAGGAAATGGCAACCCACTCCAGTATTCTTGCCTGGAGAATCCCATGGACAGGGGAGTCTGGCAGGCTACAGTCCATAGGGTTGCAAAGAGTTTGAAATGACTGAGCGACTAACAATTTCA